CATCGTCGTCCACCACCACCGCCACCATCCACCGCCGCCACCACCGCCGTCCACCACCACTGCCGTCAACGTCCACCACCACCTTCCACCACCACCGTACACTACCACCATTAATTTATATAGCAGTATACAGATATTAAAAAACAAACAGTCTTCTTCTTGCAGACCGCAGACCTTCAGTCCACCACTTCTCCTGCAGATGTCTACAGTAGTGGTCTGCAGACTGCAGACCTTTTCCTGCAAAAAAAAACAAACACCCCCTTAATCTCACTCATCCCTCGTCTTCTCTCACGACAACAGAAAGGACTTTTTAAATCGCTTGTTTTTAACCCTTTAAACTGATTGTTAACTGATGCAAAAGGTAACGATGCAATTAGTGCAAATACTTTTGGCATCGATTGTACAACCGATTCAAAAAGTCCTACCCAAAATTGGCGCCTGTTCTAAGAAGGGCTTTTTGAATTGCTTGTTTCCAAACAACCGATTCAAAACCCCCCTCCCCAGAACTGGCACCAATGTTGGGTATGACCTTTTGAATCGGTTGTTTCCAAACAGCTGATTCAAAAAGCCCTTCCTAGAACTGGCACCAATTCTGGGAAGGACTTCTTGAATCGGTTGTTTGGAAAAAACTGATTTAAAAGGTTTAATTTTTATAATAGTAGAAATGAACAGTGGTGAACAGATAGAATAATTGAACAGACTAGAACAAAACAAATGCAGTAGAAATAACAGGCCAAAACAAAACAAAATAACCTCATAACATATACACCAAAACTAAATAACAAAACTTTTAACAAAGTACACATATTATAGCATCACAATATAATAAGTAAACTATATATATATATATATATATATATATATATATATATATATATATTCATTCTAACAAAAAAACTCAATGCAAACATATGAAACTCATACTAATTTGTCAAGAAAATTACCAAAACAAAACTCACGAATCTCATCCAATTCGGCTTCTGTGTATGGTGTGAATGGAAAACCTACAAAAACACACTAGAACTAACTTATGTCAGATAACGATATCGAAGACTGAGGACACAAAGAGACAATGAGCCACATAAATCACATCATATAATATCCACACTCTGTCCCCACGGTTGTTTCTGTAGTATCTGCCAAGACCTTAAAATTAGAAAAAACAAATCATTATGAAAATAGTTCGCGATAAATAAAGACTCCCTTCCATATGATCAATCAAACTCATATAACTCATATTAGTACTTACTCATTTACGAAAGTCTTCACTTTCATTTTCTCATGTCCTCTGGTCGCGAAGATTGAGTTAAAGAAATACCCTTTGTTTTTGAACAGGCGCATTACAACCAACACCCAATGATGTCTACAATTCAAAAAGAGCGTTAGTAATTTGTTCCATTATAAGTAATCGATATAAAAACTTGATCACTCATATTTAAATGATTTAGAAAACATACAAGTTCGAAAGATACAACAACATAAGTATCCATAGTCGGGAATGATATGCATCAAAAGTTCTATCAAGATAACTGTGATCCATATAATATATCATGTATTGCATGTTCTCCGGACACAACAACCCGACAATCTTGAAATTTGACAAGTAATTACTCCGTAAATAGTAATTACATTTTTAGTAATTAATTAGAAAACACATTGCATGAACTCCCACATAAATAGAACACAATTACATATGTTTGTATATAAGTCTTTTCATACCTCAAGTATACAATGATGATGGTCTCATCGACCTCCTCCCATCGCATGAACTCCCGTATATTCTCACGTCGCATCCTGAGCTCCGTCTCCTCCGCATAGATCGTGCACTCAGGATCGAGAATAACGGTGATGATAGACAAGGGAGATGTGCGTGTCAGCCACTAACACAACTCTCTACATCTCGGGTCTAAACAGGCATACACATTCTGGGGAACAATGTCTTGCGGAGAGCTAAAAGAATAAGTGGGTTGGCGAACGCCGAGAACCGGACAATGTTTGCTCGAGGAGAAATTGCCCTGACGAGGCGTGTGGACTGGGGGCTACGAGCATATCCAAAAATAAAGACATGTGAAATACCACCAGAATTATGTTGAATGATGAAAATGAAATACATTAAATGTTTACCTTTCGATGGCCCGCCAACGACTTCGGCCATGCAACGAAGCTCCCCACAAAATCATCTACTGTCTCCATGTGCTCAATCGGGAAAGGAATGGTATACTCACCCATACTAGGGAGCAACAAGGTCACAAAGACCTTGACTTGGGTGGGAAGGAGGGGAAGACCGTGCACTACATCTCCCGGTGCACGGGGAAAACCGATTTTATGTGCCACTACAAAATTAGCTGGATCGGAAATCCTCAAGTAATAAGCACCATCATACAAAAAATTAGTAAACAAATTTTAGAAAGAAGTAAACGCAAACCTAAAATCAAATCAAAATTTAAAAAAAAATATGTACTTTAGTGAGGTCGCCAAAGTCAACAGCATTTGTGGACGTTTTGCTGCTACGATGCCCATGATGAGGTGCTAGAGGGGGTGTATGCTGCGACATGGATCCAAACTCTGAAGCACTCTCAGACATCCAAAGTCCATACTACTGCAAAAGGGAAGGGAGGTGCTTTGTGAAGTCTGCAACAACAGTCTCTCTAATGTGATCTAGATCCTGTTCAATCATGTATTTCCCTTCGGGCTTGCGAGTTTTCTTATTACCGTTGAAAGCCTTTCATAACCACACATATGACCTAACACCCCTCGTCTGCCCCAGGTTCATAGTGGTCCCTTAAGCCCTCGAAGATCCTCATATGGACTCAACATGATCCGATCATTGAATCAAACACAAACATTGAGTAATAATAAATCATGTCGTTTCTCCTAAAATTCTCTTGATTATTTACAATAATTGTGACTGTTGAATTCTCTAGTGATATTTGTTATCAACTCACCTATTCAAATAAAGATTTCTAATAAAGGAATTTCTGTTATTTGTAGAATGAGTCACGAAATCGCTCACGGTCAAAGTAACTAAGTGCCAAACAATGAGCACGTGAGTGTTCATACCGAAGCATCAAGCTTCACTCCTCTTGTCCAAAATAAACCAAACAACCAAAATGTTCACCGGGATATTGAAGGTCAATCCAATGCTAGTTCAAGTGTCCAACCAATTACTAAAGAAAAGAGACCTTTGATTGGGACCAGTAATGCCCCACACTTAAAAAGAAGAAAGTCTGTGGCAACTCAATTGGTAACATCTAGATTCAAATTGAGAGTTTGGAAGCACCGATGTGTAACATTTGAAGAGACCACCTAGGAGAATGCTGGATGGAACAAGGATTATGTCTAGGTTGTAGTAAATCTAGAAATTTCCGAAAGAAATGTCCCACGAACCCTGAACCATTTCACATTGCCTTTGACTAAGGAAAATCTACATCAGCTCGACCCAAACCAAGTCAATGATTCACATGAAGAAACAATCCAAAGAAACCAAACCAAAGATGAACTCATGCATGTATGTATGCTGTGAAAGGTTGCACTAAAGAAAATCTCGATGTCATCATTGGTTTGTTTCCTTATTCAATACAAGTATTCATGTATTGATTGATCCTTGATCTACACTGTCTTATATTTGTGTATCTGTGCCCCCAAATCTGACATTCTAAAAGAAAACTTGAATTCTCTATCAATCTTGTTCTTAGAAAAGGCCGATATTCATATTGAACGATCTTTCGCTGAGATTGAAAACTCAACTGTAAAGATTTCTTGACAAGGAATCGTTTAACCAAGTGTTTTTTCCTTGAGAGAGTACCTGCCCTGCTTGTATGTGAATAAAGAATCGATGAGACTCTACATCAACTACCAAAAGTTGAACAAACTAACGATCAAGAATCACTACCCTTTTGCCATGTACTGATGACTTGTTTGGTCAAGGTCAAAGAACCTACTTGTTAGAATTTGTAT